CCATTCTTTGGTTGGATGTGAGATTTGACCTCTGGAAGGGTCATCACAGTCACCTTGGTGGGACATCTCAGGACCTCAAATTGTTCTCTGGTTCTGCTTGGATATTTCCCACTTTGTTTGCTTGGAATTTTTCCCTTTTCCATGAGTCCCACCAAGCTCCGAGTTCTCCTCACCCACCTGAAAACCTCAACATCTTTTGCTTCCCATTTGGTTGGATGTGAGATTTGACCTCTGGAAGGGTCATCACAGTCACCTTGGTGGGACATCTCAGGACCTCAAATTGTTCTCTGGTTCTGCTTGGATATTTCCCACTTTGTTTGCTTGGAATTTTTCCCTTTTCCATGAGTCCCACCAAGCTCCGAGTTCTCCTCACCCACCTGAAAACCTCAACATCTTTTGCTTCCCATGTTTTTTTGGGGAAGAGGTAGAGGTAGAAGTTTTGCCTTCATGCGGGAGAAGGACAGGCAGAACAAGGTGACAGACATCTCCCTGAGGCAACAGCTCCAAGGATAATCGTGGAATATAGACATGGAAAAACAAGGTGCTCCCAACCCACAAATCCAAGGGTGTCTCCTCCTCCTCCAGGGGACATGTCTGGGAAGGACATCCTGAGGGATGGGATGGGAAAAGGAAGGGAATGATCCAACCCCTTCAAAGAGCTTATCCCAACTGGTTTGGGATTCCTTGGGAGAAGGGAGAGAGGAAGATTCTGAGAAGGAAGAGCTGCCCAGGAGAGCAAGAAACTGGAGGACCTGGTAGGTGTCACCTCCCCGATCCTGCTGATCCTTGCGACAAACGGATGTCAGGAATCTTTCTTGGGCTTCTTTTCCATCCTTTTGCTCCATGGCTGTGTTGGAAGTGTAGGAATATCCACAACTTCCCGTTGAAATCCCACCTAAATTCCACCCAAATTCCAGCTAGAGGAATATTTTCCCATCTCCCAATCCTCTGTCGCACCGGCTTGGATCTTTTTCCCTCCCTCCCTCACCCAACCCCAGATTTCCATAGGAATTCATGGAAGACAAGTCAGGATCTGCTTCCATGTGTGTTTTCCCGTGGGAAATGTCTCTCCATGACTTCCTCAGGATCCTCTGTGGTGGGAAGGAGAGGACAAGTGCTCAACCTCGCTGGGATTTGGAGCTGCAGATCCCAAGAGAAGGTGAAATTCCCTTAGATTTCTTGAGCTGTTATTCCTTTTCCAGTTGGAAGACCTGAAAAATGAGATTGGGAAGCGTCAGGTGAAAAATGCTTCCCAAAGCTATGAGAATTCCCGGCTGGATACACCTGGACAACAGAGGGAGGAGAAGAATCAACATCAGGTTTGTGACATCACTTGTCACCTGCAACCTTTTTCTAGGGCAAAAGTTCCCCATGGATCGATCATTTGGGGGTTTTCCCTGTTGTTTTTTTTCCCTTTACTCCTGTTCCCTCTGGAAAGTTGGAAGCTCCAAAGGGATGAGGAGAAGGAAGTTTGAGCTCGGAAAGTTGAGGGAAAAGAAGGTTAAATCACTGTGGGAATGTTGTTGGTTTCCTATGGATGAGGAGCTGAGATCCATAGGATCCATCCCAGAAAACTCACAGTCATCCTGAGATGTTTTTCCCTCTCCTTTCTTCTTCCCTCAGGATGTCAAGAGCTCCATCAGCAGGTTCGTGGCCTCTCCCAAAAAGTTCATGGAGGAGTTTTTTTCCAAGAGAAATATCCATGGAGAAGGGAATTCACCAGTGCTGCTAGTGCTCCTCTTCTCCAGGGAAAACCAGGAATCCAGGAGGGTCTTTTGGATCTTGCTGTATCCCATTCCTGGTCACATTTTGGGGATGATCCAAGGAGGTTTGGTCTTGGAATGACCTCCGGGTCGGATCTAACCTCAATCCAGTCTTGACTCTCCGTTCCATCTCTGTCCTTCCAAGCAGGAGATTCCATAGGAAAACAGGAGTAAAACAGTGGTTAAAACAGAGGGACATTTGGAGGTTTGGGAGAAAGGGGATGGGATGAAACCCAACATTCCACCCCCGCCATCCTCTTGGATCTGGTGGTTCCTTCAAAGTTGACCAAGGTGAGGAGCTTTTTGGTGGTTTTTTTTCCTTCCCTCCTTTTCCAGGTGTGGCAAAGTGACTTTCCAGCTGCCTGGGAATGTGTCTCCTGGATCAGTCTGTCACTTCTCCTGGAGGAACAATATCCTGAAGGAAACCCTGGGGAAGCTACAAGGTACTTGGATAGGGAAGATATAGCCACCACCAACCAGTTGGGCTTGGCAGGAGACAACTTGCTCCAGACCGGATTTCTATCCCATGAAATCACTTCCCTACATCCTCTTTCCTTCCCTCGGTGTCAATTTTTGGCCCAACTTCTCCACAAGTTTTTTGGCCATCACTGTGGCTTTTCCTTGGGATTTTTTAGGTTTGGGTTTTGTTGGGTTTTTTTCCCCATGGATAACATTTTTCCTCATCTTGGAGGTTCTTCATCTTGTGGTGGTTTGTCTTGGAGGTTCTTCACCTTGGAGTGGTTTGTCTTGGAGGTTCTTCATCTTGAGGTGGTTTGGCTTGGAGGTTCTTCTCCTTGGTGTGGTTTGTCTTGGAGGTTCTTCATCTTGAGGTGGTTTGGCTTGGAGGTTCTTCTCCTTGGTGTGGTTTGTCTTGGAGGTTCTTCATCTTGAGGTGGTTTGGCTTGGAGGTTCTTCTCCTTGGTGTGGTTTGTCTTGGAGGTTCTTCATCTTGAGGTGGTTTGGCTTGGAGGTTCTTCTCCTTGGTGTGGTTTGTCTTGGAGGTTCTTCATCTTGAGGTGGTTTGGCTGGATGCTTCACCTTGGGGACACTTCATCTTGGGATATTTCCCCCCTTGGGTCCCAACCTGGATCCTGCTGCCCCTCCAAGCCTTGAGGAAGACTCAGATCCACCCTTGACCTCCTTGCCCCTCCTCCATCCCTCCAGCCAACGTCACCCTGGACCCAGACACGGCCCACCCTGATCTGCTTCTGTCAGAAGACCAGAAGAGCGTGTGCCGCGGGGACAGACGTCGCCACGTCCCTGACAACCCCGAACGCTTCGACTACTGGCCCTTCGTGTTGGGTCACCAAAGCTTCGTGGCCGGGAGACATTGTTGGGCCGTGGACGTGGGCGACGGAGGTGACTGGGCCGTGGGGGTGGCCAAGGAGTCCATCCAACGTAAAGGTCACCTCAGCCTCGGTCCTCACGGGGGGATTTGGGCCTTGGAGAAGTGGGGAGGGCAGATCCGAGCGCTGACGGTCAACAAGGTGACGCTTCTACCTCTCCGTTGGGTTCCACGCAGGGTCAGCGTCCACCTGGATTACTCTGGAGGAACAGTGGCCTTCTTTGATGGGGAGGAGGGTGGTCTTCTCTTTATCTTCTCCCGGGTGGTCTTCAGTGGGGAGAGGGTGAGGCCATGGTTATGGGTGGTGGGGATGAGGTCTCACCTCCGGCTGTGTCCTTAGGACTGGGGAGGAGTGTCCTCCACCTCCTACAGCCTCGGGGGACAACTCAGTGGCGTCTCCATGGGATCATGGAGAGCATCAGGAATGGGGAGTTGGGGGTTAGGTTGTCCCCTTGGGATCATGGGACAACCAGGTGGTGTCCCTTAGAACCATGAGGAGCAGGAGGAATGGGAATTGGAGGTTGAGTTGTCCTCCTGGGACCGTGGAGAGGTTTTCCTGGTTAGGTGGAGATGTTCCCAACTGAGGTCACAAATCCTAGGGCTCTAAAGCGATTCCGAAACTCCAAACCACCTCACTTTGATCCTTCCCACCCTCCAGTGGATGGAATTGCCCTCATCCAACTGTTTCCTCCCTGTGGAATTGTCCCTTGGTGACCAGGTTGGATGTTGCCATCAGCTCTGTGGGTTCCTGCTTACCCCAGGTGAGGTGAGAAGTTACCACAGTAACACCATCACTGATGGAACCTCCACACCAGGTGTTCCCAAGCCTCAACGCTTCCCTCCTTTCTCCTCGGAACGTCTGGAATTTATATGGCTAAGAATAAAAAAACCTCATGGTTTTCTCCTCCATGTCCTCACAGTGGTGGCTCCTAGGTACGTCCCTAGGTCATCTCCATGGGGTTTCCTTTGGATCCGGTGGATCTTTTGTAGTGGGAACACCAGGAATGAGGTTTAGGGAAGGCAAAATTTAGTTCCTCCCCTCGAAATCGAGGCCCAAAAAGCAACAAACACCAGAGACAAAAGAATGAAGTCGTTTTTACTTCATCTCAGGTCATGATGGAGAAGGGACGAGAGGGTCAAGATGGTTCAAGATGTGGTGGGACCAGACCTGGTTCTGTTTTCAGCCCCCAAATTTGGGCTAGTGACCCCTGGAGATGTTCCACATCACCAGGGAGGGACAGAGAGGCCCCAACTAGGACCTCATCAGGTAGAAGTCCTTCTAAGTGGTGGAAAGAGGGGGGAGAAGTTGTATCAGGAGGAGCTTCAGGGGCACAGGGTGATCTGAGACCCTTCGCTCCACACCAGGAACCAAGGGTGGACACTCTCCCCCTTGAAGGAAGCTGCTGGGAAGGTGAAGATCAGAACCTTCTTGTCAGCATCAAAAAAAGCCACTTGACCTTTCTCGTAGTCCAAGGACACCTTGACCTTCTTGGGGACCTGGACTTGGTAGAGAGGGATGCGCTCCAAGGAGGTCAAAGCCCAGAATTGACCTTCACACACCCCCATGGACCACAACTCCATCTCGGGGTTCTCAGGAACCTCCTCCCTCCTCTTCAAGGACTCTCTGGCCACCCCAACAGCCCAGGAGCCCACAGGAGATACCTCCACCTCCCAGCAGAACCTCCCTGAGGTGATGCCCTCGTGGGCCAACACGCAGGGATCGGGACCAAACACCTCCATGGGAGAGTCCAACCAATTGTCTTCCCACCTCACACTCCTCCCGTCCGCGGCCACGATGAGCTGGGGATGAGCCGTGGTGGGATCCAACGTCACCGGCACTGCCAAGGGAAACCAAAGCTGTTCCCACCACCCTTGGAGAACCTCGGGATGCTCTTCCCTCTCTGTAGGACTAGACGTGGTTCCTTCCCCTGATTGCAGGGCAAGGGATGGTCTACCAAGACTTTGTGGTGAGGATACTCCAACTCCTCATGGAGTTTTGTTTCCCCTCCTCTCCCATCATCTTCCTCAACTTGTGGTCAACCTCAGGTTGGTCCTTTCCCATTCCCTCATCCCTAGGAGAGGTGAACTTACTCTTTTCCGGAAGCTCAAACATGAGGATGTCTGAAAGGAGGAGAAGAAAGATGTGAAGGTCTGAGAAGAGGAGGAGAAGACATCACTCGCTGAAGGTCTCAGGGAGATATTGGGTGTGAGATGTTCTCAAGGAGAACATGACCTCAAAAAAGTTGTCCTACCACTCTGAAGTCACCACCACATCCTTTTGCTTGATCTCAATACCTTGGAAGCTCCTCAGAGTCTTCTCCAGAGTAAGATTTTTCTCCCTCAAGTGGTTGATTCTCTTCTCCAGCTTTGGAAGAGGTGAGTGGAGCAGCTGGAGGTTCTCCTCTTCCAACCTAGAGAAGGACAGAAGGGAGAGGATCCAAGGAATCTTCTGGGCACACCTACAGCTCAGGACAATCAGCTCTGGCTCCCGATGAGGTACAGAGATGTCTTTGCTCAGGTTCTTCTCCTCAAACCCAAATATTTGACCTCTAAGTGAGGTCAAACACAAGGTCCAACCCCCTCCAAGTCCAGTCTGGTGAGAGAGGAGAACCTCAGGTTGTTTCATACCTTCTCAAAGTGCTGGTGATGTCCTGGAAGAGAAAGAGAAGAGACAACTCATTGAGTTAGTCTTTGAATCATTGACACATTGACATTGGAAGAGTTTTCCAAGAGAATCAAGTCCAACATCTGCTGAGACACCAACAGGGAAGAGTTGGGTCTGGAGAAGAGTTGGATTTGGGATGGAGGCAACCATAGATGGGTTTGGATTGGAAGGGACACCCCAAGACCACCTCAATCCAACCTCCTGCCAAGGGTGGAGATCCCTCCCAATGGACCAAGTTGCTCCAAGATGGTCATCATGGGATGATGAGATCAAGATCCTGAGAGAACCTGGTTCCACACCTTCTCCCTCACCTCCAGGAAGGTCTTGGCTGGTTGTTGACACTTCTCCTCTCCGTCCTGGATACAAGTATCCAAGCGAGAGATCTCTTTGGTCAGGTTGGTGATGTTCTCTTCCTGCATCTTCTCCAAGTCCTTCTCCAGATCCCTCAGTTGAGCCAGGAGATGACAGGCATGGTCCTCCAGGACCAGGCGAAACCCTTGGAACTGGGACAGGACCCTTTGTCTTTCTACTTCGGTTTTCTCCTGAAGGAGGAACACACATGGAGCAGAGATGGGTTGGGAAGAAGGAGCCAAGTCCACCTGGAGAAGGATTCCAGCTCCAGGAATGACCTCTCCCGTGGGAGATATCCCCTCCCAATCCTTGTGCTTCGAGAGCCTTTACCAAATATTCCCAGTTTCTCCTCATTTCAGCCTCCCTGAACTTCTGGAATTTATCTCTGTCTTCCTTCAGGACCTTCAGCTGAGCTTGGATTTGTACCTGAGGGAAGGAAAAACGAACACCTCATTTCCCTGAAAAAAAGCCCAGGGAAAACACATTCTGGGATAGCGATAACGCTATGGTTCACTCCAGAACTTCTCCTGGAGATCTCTTGGTCCAGAAAACCCATTCCCTCCTTTTCTTCCTCTGGATTTAAGGAATATCTGGGATTGAGGGATGTCCATTAAGCACCAAAGCTTGGAATCCCACAGTGGGAAAAGAGGATGAAGACCTCAACTCCCTCAACTCTGGATCATTGGAGGAGGAGAAGAGAGAGAACACCAGGTTGAGGAAGAAGAACTAGGAGGACATTTCCACCCTTGGGTAAGGACAAGAAATTTCCCAGCTACGAGAGCCTCAACCCTCTGGGTTGACTCCTAGCTGGAAAAAATTCCCTTTACCTTGTATTCCTGAGCAACCTCCGGCACGGGACGCACGGAGTGGGAGCGATGAGCTCGTGACTCACGGCAGATGACGCAGAGAAGAACTTGGTCCTCCTTGCAGAAGAAGTTCAGAGGTTCCTGGTGCTTCTCACATCCTTCCTCCTCTTCCTTCTCCTTCTTCTTCTCCCAGTCCAGGAGGTTCCCCTTGAGGCTGAGCCGACGAGCTATGTGGAGGATCCGTGCGAGCTCCTGATTGGGGCGGAGACTTCTCTCCGACGTCGTCTCCCAACACTGAGGGCAGGAGAACTTTTCCATGGAGTATTCCCAACGGTGAGTGATGCAGGAACGGCAGAAGTTGTGGCCACAGTGGATGGACACAGGATCTTGGAAGTCCTCGAGGCAGATGGGACAGGAGACTTCGCTGGGCAGGTTGGAGGTTCTGCTCGACGTGGCCATGGAGGATGATGTGACCGTGACAGGAGACGCTTTCGGTTTCCCTCTCCTCCCCCCACCATGACGACGAGGAGGGAGGAAGGCGTTGCCCTTCCTGTCACCCTTCAGTGGTGGCCAAAGTCTTCCTGGTTGCAACCACAGGGTGGTCCCACCACCTGCAGGGTGGTCTCAGAACCTTCAGGGTGGTCAAAGAACCTTCAGAGTGCTTCCAGGTTGGTGGAAGAACCTTCAGGGTGGTCTGTGAACTTCCAGGGTGGTCAAAGAACCTTCAGGGTGGTCTGTGAACTTCCAGGTTGGTGGAAGAACCTTCAGGGTGGTCTGTGAACTTCCAGGGTGGTCAAAGAACCTTCAGGGTGGTCTGTGAACTTCCAGGTTGGTCGAAGAACCTTCAGGGTGGTCCCCACCACCTCTAGGTTGGTCCCACCACCTCCAGGTTGGTCTCAGAACTTCCAGGGTGGTCCCAGTACCTCCAAGGTGGTCCAAGTTGGGAGGGAGTGGGAGGAAGATGTAGTGATGGCCAAAGTCTTCCTGGTTGCACCTCCAGGGTGGTCCCAGAACTTCCAGGGTGGTCTGGGCTGCAGGAGGATCCAGGAGGAGGATAAGGAGGGAGGATCTGGGAGCTGCAGGTGGATCCAGGAGGGAGGATCCAGGAGGGAGAATCCAGGAGCTGCAGGTGGATCCAGGAGGGAGAATCCAGGAGGGAGAATCCAGGAGCTGCAGGTGGATCCAGGGGGAAGGATCCAGGAGGGAGGATCCAGGAGCTGCCGATGGATCCAGGGGGAAGGATCAGGGAGGGAAGATCCAGGAGCTGCAATCAGATCCCCTCCAAACCAGGAAAACAACGAAGTCTCTTTATTTCCCCTCTCCATCCCTTTCCAACCCACCACATTCCTGGTGAGAAGAGGATTCTCCTATCTCCCTTCCACAGCTGCTCCGGAGCAGCTCCATCCCGGTCTATCCCTGGAATAGCTCCATAAAGGAGTTGCTCTTTGCTCTCCCACCCCTCCCCCAAGGCAAGAAGAGGAACAACCACCGGAAACAACCAACCAGAGCGGAAAACGAAAGCTGCTCCGTCATCACACATGGCCGAGGACAACCCTACAGAGAACCTCCAGGATGAAGTTTCCTGTTCCTTGTGCCTGGAATTTTTCCAGGATCCTGTATCCATCCACTGTGGACACAACTTCTGCCGTTCCTGCATCACTCAGTGTTGGGAGAACTCTGAGGAAAACTACCCTTGCCCTCAGTGTTCGGAGACGGCGCCGCAACCCAACTTGAGACCCAACCGAGAGTTGGCCAAGATCATCGGCATCGCTCGGAGGCTTAGCTTGAGGGTATCCAGGGATGGGATGAGGTGGGACAGGTTCTGCTGGAAGCATCAGGAAGTTCTGAAGTTGTTCTGCGAGGAGGAGCAGATTCCGATCTGCCTGGTGTGCCGGGAATCCCAGGAGCATCGGCTCCATTCTGCCGTTCCCATCGAGGAGGCAGCAGAGGAGCACAAGGTTGGGAGGTCTCCAAGAGGTTGGGAGGTCTCCAAGAGGTTGGGAGGTCTCCAAGTGGTTAGGGGTGGTGTAAGGGATGAGGAGCAAAAGACTGGGAGGTCTCCAAAAGGCTGGAAGGTCTCCAAGAGGCTGGGAGTGATGTAGGGATGAGGAGGACTAGGACAAAGCGTTTTTCCTGGCAAACCTTTGGGTTTCACACCTCCAATCTTCTCCCTGTGCTGGACACGAGGGTTGGATGAGAGTCACCTCCGGCTCTGTGCTCCTGGTAGCTCTGGATGGAGCAGTTGGAAGAGGACCAGGAAGCACCAAAGTGTTTCTTGTCCACCCAGGAGAAATTCCAGGCTCATGTGGAGATCCTGAAGGAAAGAAGGGAAAAGCTGATGGAGCTGAAAACGGTTGAGGAAGGGAAGAGCTTGGATTTGCTGGTGAGTATCCACCCCTGCATGGGAATGGATTTTTTTTTTCCCCCCTTTTCCTTCTCTTATCTCCCTGCTCCCCAAGTGGGAGACACATTCCCAGATTTTCCCCCCTTGGAATAGAGCTGGAAAATGGGAATCACTTGGTTGTGTCGCTCCTGCCTTGTTTTCCCTATCCCTGTTTTCCATCGCTGACTAAGCCTTTTATGAGTCTCTTTTTGGTCAAAGGCCACCTGGAATGTTTGAGGGGGCAAAGGTTAGAAACCATGGGAAAAAGTCCTTATCTGGTAATTAATTCCCTATGGAATTTCTGTCTGTGCTCAACCATCCCTTCGACCTGTAGGAACAGGTGGACACGGAGAGGCAGAAGGTCATGGCCTGTGCCAAGGAGCTGCACCAGGTCGTGGAAAAGCAGGAGAAACTTCTCTTGGAACGACTGGCGAAGCTGGACGAGGAGATCACGAGGAAGCAGGAGGAGAACATCACCAAACTCTCGGAGCAGATCTCCTCCATTGGGAAGCAGATCCATGAGTTGGAGGAGAAGTGCCAACAGTCAGCGTGGGAACTACTCCAGGTGAGAACTGGAGATCTTTGGAACATCCTTGACCACCTGTGGCGTTACCAAATGAATCCTGAAGAGAATCATGGGATGGTTTGGGTTGGGATGGACCTTAGAGACCACCTAGACCATGGCAGGGACAACTTCTACTGGACCAAGTTCCTCCAATCCTTGCCCAACCTATAAAACCCCCTCTTCAAACTCATCTTCCAAAGCTTTTATCCCTTCGACTACCACGTTGGGACCTCTGGAACATCCAAACTCATCCCCAGCCTTGAGAGCTGTGGTCACATGGGGTTGAGGTTGACCCATCTGGAGGGGGTTGGAGGGGGCTGGAAGGGGTTGG